ACTCATTTATATAAAATCTCACATATTTTATTTATATATAGAAGTTCATTAGGTTTTTGTATGTAAAACATTAATTGTTAATTTTTATCTCTTATCTTTGATTCCACTGCTGGAAAAATGTTTGACCATGTTTGAATGATAATTTTCCTCACTTGTAAGTAAAGTATATTCAACAAATATGCACAAACACTCCTCTTTTTTTGTTTGTTTTTTAAATTAATTTATTTATTTTTAGTTTTCAACATTCAATTCCACAAGATTTTGAGTGCCAAATTTTCTCCCCATCTCTTCCCTCCCCCCACCCCAAGATGGCGTGCATTCTGATTACCCCTTCCCCCTGTCTGCCCTCCCTTCTATCACCCCCTCTTCTTTTATCCCTTTCCCCTTTAGGATAAGATAGATTTCTATACCCCATTGCCTATATATCTTATTTCCCAGTTGCATATAAAAATAGTTTTTAACATTTGTTTTTAAAAGTCTGAGTTCCATATTCTCTCCCTCCCTCCTCACCCACCCTCATTGAGAAGGCAAGCAATTCAATATAGGTTATACATGTGTAGTCATGCATAACACTTCCATGATAGTCATGTTGTGAAAGACTAACTATATTTCCCTCCATCCTATCTCCCCCCTTTTTTTCTATTCTCTCCTTTGACCCTGTCCCTCCTCAAAAGTGTTTGTTTCTGATTACCCCTTCCCTCAATCTGCCCTCCCTTCTATCATCCTCCCCCCTCTTATCCCCTTCCCCCCTACTTTCCTGTAAGGATAAGATAGATTTCCATACCCAATTGAGTGTTTATGTTATTCCCTCCTTAAGCCAAATCTGATGAGAGTAAGGTTCACTCATTCCCTCTCACCTCCCCTTTCATCCCCTCTACTGTAAAAGCTTTTTCTTGCCTCTTTTATGTGAGATAATTTACTCCATTCTACCTCTCCCTTTCTCCTTCTCCCAGTACATTCCTCTCTCACCCCTTAATTTTACATTTTAGATATCACCCTTCGTATTCAACTCACCCTGTGCCTTCTATCTCTATATATATTCCCTCCAACTACCCTTAGTAATGAGAAAGGTCTCTTGAATTACAAACATCATCTTAAGGATAGAACTTTTTTAACACTGGGGTTTTAGTTAAAAAAAATCTGCCAAGACAAAATATTCTAAGTTCTAAAGACTCTTGAAACATGTACAAACAAAACTTGAAAAAAGTGGTGCCCTGAAGGTCAGAACCTTGGTAGGAAGGTGACGCCATTGTCCTTCCCATTGCCAACACTTGCAGCTCAGAGGTGCTTTTATTTTGCATCAGGAAGTCCTAGAACCTGTCTCAGTGGCACACCCTGTTGGTTCTGTAATGCTCTCATTTCTCTTCTTCCTCACTTTCCTAATACCTGGTTCAGATTCAAGAGAAAAGGTTCCTTGCCTTCCCAATCTCCTTTCCTGATGCTTCTCAAAGCAACACACAGGTACTCACAAAAAGATTTGCTATGGAGTACCACAGGGAAACATCAACAGGACAGAACTGAGAGTAATGAGATTAAGGGAGAATACATACACAGATAGAAAGAGATAAAGTTTGCAGTTTACACACTTTTTAATTTGGCTCTTTCATATCTACTACAATGAATTACGTCTCTCCTTTTTTGTAGCTCCCTCTTTTCCTACTTGAAAGGTCTTTTGAAAAGTCTTATCCTAGATGTAAAAAATAAAAGAAATTGAGGTCTTCAGAATCTGCTTTGCCAATCTGCTGCTGTTCTAGTTGTAGAGACTTAGAGTTTGAGCTAGGTTATTGCTGTGATATCACCTACCACCAGGGTCAGCCAACGTTGTCCTTGGGGTTGGGGGTAGGGCAGGAGAATCAGAGGAGGCTTCCTTCTTGGAGATGGAAGGGGAAGATCTTAATCAGGAGTCAAGCAAGAGCAAAACCAAAGGCTGAGCCAGTCAGGAGCCAGAGTTTCTCTGGAGGGCAGACAGTGAGTGCATGGGAGGGAGGCAGGTCAGAATGCCAAGTACCCAAAGCAAGCATCCAAGCTGAGAGGGAAGAATGCAATCCAGAGGCAGAATGCAAGGAATTTTAGCAAGCTTTCCAAAGCTTTAGTCCTTTCTGTTTGTTGTCTGGCTTTCCAGCTTATTATTTGTCCCCTTAGTTCTACAGTACCTGCTTTGGACTCAGTCACTCTTCTGGATTTCAGGGAATTCACAGCAGACATCTCCCTCACTTCAGGTTCCATAGCTAAGCTATGGTTCAGTCAGCCATTCCTCAGAGAGGAGATGTGCACGGTGATGACTACCAGAGTCATATTTCCAGCCCTAGACTCTCTTCTGAGCTCCATGCCCACATCACCAATAGCCTACCTATTGGATGTCCTATAGCCATCCCAAAGTCGAACTCATTTTTCCCCCAGATCTCATCCATTTTCTGAATTTTCCTATTACTTTTGAGAATGCTACTATTTTCCCAGTCACCAAGGGTTAAAATCTTGATGTCAATATTAACTCCCCACTCTCATTCACCCCACATATCTACTCAATTACCAAATCTCTCTCCCCAGTATTCTTCTTATATATTCTCTCCTCTCCACTCCCATAGTCACCCCCCCAGTTGAGGTTATAATCACCTCTGGCCTGAGCTAATGACCTCCTAAATACTCTACTTGCCTCAAATCTCTCCCCACTCCAATCCATCTTCCGCACAACTGTCAAAGTAATTTTCCTAAAGTATGGATCTGTTCATGTCACCTCATCCACTGCTCAGTAAATTCCAGGAGTTCCTATTGCCGGAAGGATCAAATATAATCTCCCCTATTTGGTGTTTAAAACTGTTCACAACCTGATCCTATCTTACTTCTTCAATTTTTTTTTAATGCATTACTTTCCTCCTTATGTTCTTCAATCTAGTCATATTGGCTTACTCACTGTTCCATATACATCACACTCTTTCTCCAGTATCCATACTTTTGCATTGGTTATTCTCATGCCTGCTACACACTCTCCCCTCACTTGAACTCCCTTCCTATCGTAATCACCTTTTATTCATTTTATATATTAATTATTTACTTAGATGTACAAGTTATCATCCCAATTAGAATGTAAGCTTCTTGAAGTCAGAGACTATTTAATTTTTATCTTTATATTTCCAGCACAGTTCCTGTCACATAATAAGTGCTGAGTAAATGTGTGTTGATTGATTGCTTGATTTCAGGTTTCATAATGATCAAAAATGAAGTTAGGTCCCACGATACATAATAACACATTGCACACACATACTGTTCATCAGAATAGGTCATAATACCATAAAGGGGTTGTGTGCTTATTTCAGATCCAGTAGAGTAAGGGAGAAGCAAGAAACCTCTGGCAGCTAGGTGGAGAAATAGAGGGAGCACAAGACCTTGGATCAGGAGGACCTGAGTTCAAATCCCACTTAGCTGTGTGACCCTAAACAGGTCACTTAACTTCTCTCAGTTTTAGTATTCTTATCTGTAAAATGGAGCTAATAAGAGCACCTCAGTGATATTGTAGGCTCACATGAGATAATAGATATAAAATGCTTTGTAAAACTTAAACTGATATATAAATGCTAGCTATTATTATTGTTGTCCCTTTCTCTGAAGATCTTGGCAGAAAGAAACTGGAAGAAAGCATAGTTGTAATCATACTAAAAGAACAGTCAGATCAAACCTTGGCCTTTGTGAAAGAGAAGAAAATAGAATGGGGCAAGAAGCCTGGGTCTAAGAAATGTCTCCAATGGTTTCATATTATTTGTACCCCTTCCTTCTCCCCCACCTGCCACCATAGAAGTTTATTAGCTAATTTTTAGGCACCTAGGACCCCATCCCTTGAAAGGACTTCAAAGCAGAAATCAAACCTGGATTTAGCTCCAGCACTGAGCTCATAAACTGGGAGGTCATTTTACAGATGAAGAAACTGAGACTCAAAGAAATTAGGTAATAATAATAATAAAAAATAGCATTTTTTAGATTTGCTGTTGGGGGAAGAACACACCATTAGGACAAAGACAGTTTGTTATTAACTAACTTTGATTTTATCATTATCCTCCTTTTACAGAAGAGGAAACTGAGGCAGAGAGGTTAAGTGAATTGCCAACGAATCACACAGCTGTTAACCATCCATGGACAAATCTGAACTCAGATCTTCCTGACTCAAGGTCCAGTGCTCCATGCTGTGTCACCTAAAGGCCCCGGTGATCTGCCCAGGGTCACAGAGATAGTAATAAGTGGCAGACCCAGGATCTGAAGAAAAGTTCTTTGATTCCAAGCCCAACACTCTTTCCACTGTAACTGGCAGTTGGTATCTAGAATAACTCTAGCTACAATCAGCTGTCAGCTGCCATCCTCTTAAACACGGGCAGCCTCTCTGGGAAGCTCTTTGATGTGTTCATATAAGTTTAACTTAAAGTTTATTTTCCTTTTGATGTAATGTAATAATAATAATAAAAGCTAGCATTTATATAGAACAGAGCACTTTACAAATGTTATCTCATTTGATCCTCACAACAATCCTGGAAAACAGGTACTCTTTTTACAGATGGGGAAAATGAGGCAGAGATAGGTTAAGTGACTTGCCCCAAGTTATGCATCTAGGAGCCAGGATTTTAACTCAGGTCTTTATGAGCCCAGGTCCAACACTCAACCACATCTGCTTTCCTGAGAAAACTTCCGGAAGACACATTGCACATACTGTGTCCAAGCATAGAAGAAAAACAAGAAATGAGAATGTCCTATCATACGGGGCAGAACTGCATGCTTCGGCACAAAGAAGGACCCAAACAAAGTCAGTGAACAAAGAACTGTCTTTGTCCCAGTGCTTATGTTCCTCCCCCAACAGCAAGTATAGAACAGTGCTAGAAAGCACCAGAGGGAAAGCAGAGCACTGCATGCTCTTCACTAAAGGCAGAATAAAAAAGCAAACCACAAAACCCTCTTACGCACCAAACGGGCCCCTTTTTTGTTGTTCTTACCAATGCGGCAGCAGAAACGCTCTATATATACGAGCGGCCGCGGCCGCTGTCACTAGGACACTGCATCCATCGCCAACCAGACATGGGGAAGGTGAGTGAAGTATTGCTGGGGGTAGGGGAAGGGTCCCAAACAGAAAGATGCCACAATTGAAGGGGCAGGATGAGAGGGAAACAACGGCTCTGAATTCTTCTACCTTTGCAGATCACTTTCTACGAGGACAGAGGCTTCCAGGGCCGCTGCTATGAGTGTAGCAGCAACTGCCCCAATCTGCAGGCCTACTTCAGCCGCTGCAACTCCATCCGGGTGGACAGTGGCTGCTGGATGATTTACGAGCATCCTAGTTACTCAGGACATCAGTATTACCTGAGAAGGGGAGAATATCCTGACCACCAGCAATGGATGGGCTTTAATGATACTATTAGGTCCTGTTGTCTGATACCTCAAGTGAGTTCTGCCTCCTTGCAGTTATATTCATGAAGTATTCTCCATGAGCTAAAAATTGGGGCGGAGGGGCCTAGAAAATTAAAAAAAAAAGAAAAGAAAAGAAGGCAAAGGTCTAGTGAGTTTCAAATGGTGGTCCAAACACAGATAAATAGAGGAGAAATGCCCAAGAAGATGCTGAGAAATTCATTCTAGGGAGGAATCTATGACTATAAAAAAATGATCAGTTGCTTTTGTTATATCTGCTAACATTATTTTGTGGTCCAATAATAATTTCAAAAGTCCAGCTTTAGAAGTTGTTCAGAATGAAAAGCAAAAACAAGTCTAGTAATATATAGGCTAACTGTGGCCCTATGATACAGAAATTCAGAAAATAAAAAGCAGACACATTCCTCTATTGATCATTTGGAAGTAGGGGGAGAGGGAAGGGAAGGGAATAATATTCATATAGTGCCTACTGTGTAACCAAATGTTATCTCATTTGATCCTCGAAACAACCCCAAGAGATAGGTGCTGTTATTGTCTCCATTTTACAGATAAGGAAACTGAGGCAAAGAAGGGTTAAGTGACTTGCCCAGCATCTCACAGCTAGTAAGTGTCTGAGGTCACATTTGAATTCAGGTCTCTCTGACTCCAGGCCCAGTGCTTTATCTACTGTGCCATCTGGCTGGAGTTAAAAATTATATCAATAACAATTTCAAGAAGGATGTATTCTTATCTGCTTCTGTGTTATAGTGTGACCCCTATCAAGCTTCTTTATCCCATACGATAAATAGAAGAAAGTCATAAGAAGATATATTTAATGATTTAGCTTCTATGGATCAAAAGAATATCAGAAATACAAGGAATAATTTCAGAATTTCTATTTTAACTTTCATCTATTCATCCATTGAAAATATATTAACATGCTAAACCATCAATGAGCCGAATTCTAAAAATGGTTCAATTTGTTTGGATTTTTTCCTTCTGTTTGTCACCCAAGCAGACTGGCTCTCATAGGATGAGACTGTATGAGAGAGAAGAATACAAAGGTCTAATGTCAGAGCTCACCGATGACTGCCCTTGCATCCACGACCGTTTCCGACTGAATGAAATCCACTCCTTCAATGTGCTAGAAGGTTGCTGGGTCCTGTATGAGATGCCCAACTACAGAGGAAGGCAGTTCCTACTGAGACCTGGTGAATACAGGAGATACCTGGACTGGGGAGCCATGAACGCCAAGGCAGGCTCTTTAAGGCGGGTTATGGATTTATACTAAAATCTGCTTATGCTACCATCTTCTCATTTTGGAACCTAATAAAGTATTTAGTTTGTATTATTGGCACTTAATGTTTCCAGTGCTTACTTTACGTTATATACAAACAAATCCAGTTGCGAATGCTTTAGTACTGAAAGGCTATGAGGTGAATGGGGATAACTTGTCTTCTGGAGAATTCGTCAAGGAAAGTTTTAAGGAAAAGGTAAATCTTGGATGAAGTTTAGAAGGAGAAAGGGATAGGAAGGGAAAAGTCATCCCTGGACCTCGGGGCAAAAGCAGGAGGCCAAAATCAATGCACTTTAAGTATGAGATAGAAAGTAGGTTTGTCCTGTTGAAACAAAGAGTATGAATACCAGTGAATTAGATGATACTTATAGTTAGCAGATGGCTAACCTTGAAACATGTGCTAGGAAATTTAGTTTTGATATTAGAAGTATTTGGGAGATGAGGTGGCCACAGTTTAATAAAATGCTACTAATTTAGATTACAAGATGCAGAGCAAGAGAGGAAGTGCAACATAGTAACAATTTTAAATTCTTGATTATTTTATTAAAAACAATAACATTCATAATAATAGTATCTAGTACTTTAGGATTTACAAAATGCTTACAAATATTGTCTTTACAAACATTTTGTCCTCACAATAGCCCTAGAAAGTTGGTGCTATTTTTATCCTCATTTTACAGATGAGCAAACTGAGTCAAATAGAGGCTAAGTGATTTGCCCAAAGTCACACAACTAGTAAGTGTCCAAGGCGGGATTTGAACTCAGGTCTTTCTGACTCCAAGCCCAGTTGTACTTGCAAGTATTGAAAATAGGGATTGAACCTACCAATGCAAGTTAGCATCTTCTCTACAACTTAGGTTGTTGAGTCGTTTCAGTCATGCCCGACCCTCCATGACACCATTTGTGGTCTTCTTGGTGAAGATACTGGAGTGGTTTGCCATTTTCTTCTCCAGCTCATTTTATAGATGATGATACTGAGGCAAATGGGATTAAGTGACTTGCCCAGTGTCGCACAGCTACTAAGTGTCTGAGGCCAAATTTGAACTCAGGAAGATGAGTCCTCCTGACTCCAGGCCCAGCACTCTATGCACTACGGCTCCACCTAGCTGCAATTTCTAGTCTTGGATAATTGTCATGAAAACTGAGCTTGAATAACTTGTCCAGGGTCATATAGAAAACACATATTTCAGAGACAGAACTTGAACCCAGCTCATCCTGGCTTTGAGACTGGCTGTCTATCCTCTCTACCACGGCACCTCTCATTTTGAAGCATAGTATCATATAAACCACATCAAAGATTTGGGATTTTCTAGGTGTGGAACCTCCCTCTAACACTGCAGATTGTAACTCGTCTCTAATGTAGTAGATGCCCAATGACCTAATCCAATTCAACAGGCATTTGTGGTGTGTAAGGCACTTGGCTAAGTGTGGAAGAATGAAAAAGCATCCCTGTAATTAAGAACCTTACAGGAGACAATCAGTAAACAGATAAATGCAGATGTGATAAATGGAGAAAATGACAACTGAGCTCTAACACTCAGAAAGATCCAGAAAGGCTTCCTGGAGGAGACATCTTTTTTAAAAAATTAATTTATTTTTAGTTTTCAACATTCACTTTCACAAGCTTTTGAGTTTTAAATTTTCTCCCCCTCCCTCCTCACCTCCTTTCCCAAGATGATGCACAATCTGATGTAGGCTCTACATATACATTCCTATTAAACATATTTTCACATTAGTCATGTTGTAAAGAAGAACTAGAACCAAGGGGAGGAACCACAAGAAAGAAGAAACAAAACAAAACAGAAGAAAAAAAGGAGCAAATAGTATGCTTCCATCTGCATTCAATCTCCATAGTTCTTCTCTGGATGTGGATAGCATTTTCCATCATGAGACTTTTAGAGATGTCTTAGATCCTTGCATTGCTGAGAAGAGCTAAGTCTATCAAGTTTAGTCATTGCACAACGTGGCTGTTACTGTGTACAATGTTCTCCTGGTCCTGCTCACTTCACTCAGTATCAGTCCATGCAAGTCTTTCCAGGTTTTTCTGAAGTCCACTTAAGAAATGAAGCCCTCATCAGAGACACTGGTTGTAAAAATTCTTTTCCAGTTTTCTACTTCCCTCCTAATCTTGGTTGTATTGGCTTTGTTTATGCAAAACTTTTCAATTTAATGAAATCAAAATTATCCATTTTGCATTTCATAATGTTCTCTATCTCTTGTTTGGTCATAAATTCTTCTATTTGGAGGAGATATCTTAAAGAGTTACTGGAAGCCTAGAGAAGTTAAATTATTCCCTCTTGCATGGGCAATTAGTAAATGAGTAGAAGATTCAAAATTGATTATAAGCTCCTTGAGGGTGGGGCTTGCTTTCATTTTTTGCCTTATGGCACACAGTAGGCTCTCTCTCTCTCTCTCTCTTTTTTTCTTTGGTAAGGCGATCAGGGTTAAGTGATTTGCCAAAGGTCACACAGCTAGTAAGTATCAAGTGTCTGAGGTCAGATTTAAACTCAGGTCCTCCTGACTCCAAGGTCAGAGCTTTATCCACTGAACCACCTAGCTGCCCCGCAGTAGGCTCTTAATAAGTGCTTGTTGAACTGAATTGGGAACATGTCAGAGGAAGTTTTTGAAACCCAGTCTTTCTGACTCCAAGTTCAGACCTCTATCTACTGCACTATACTCTCTCACTTGATGTTTTGAAACAGAAATAAGCTATAAAATGAAAAAAAAAAAGGCTTATGAATAAGCTACCGTGGTGAAATATCGCAAATATAGAAATGTTTTAACATGGAAGAACGAAGGATCAGGCCTAAAATGGAAAGCATATGGAAGGAATCTTTCACTGTTCTTTAGTGTTTTGTTTGAAAAAGTGACTGACTTTAGATTAGATTTTTCTTGTTCACAAGTAAGATTTTGGAAAGCCAAAGAAGAATACATCAATCACTTTGTATTTATTAAGCATCTACTATATGGTCTGGTAGACACTGGGGTCACTGGGGTTACAGGTACAAAGAATGAAGCAATCTCTGTTTTTCAATGAACTTATATTCTAAGAGGAAAAAAACTAACATAAATGTCTTATTTAAAAACGAATGCATACCATGTGTGGGGTTTTGTGGGCTTAAAATTGGTGGAATCTGAGAGCAAGGCTTTATTAAGAGAGAGACTTTGGGGCTAAAGGTGAATATTTTTCACCAAGAGCCTGCGGAGATTGTTGAAAGATCAGCTTATCACAATCATTTAGAAAGACAAGCTAGATAAATGCATAAAAGATCTTTTTAGAACCCTTGGGTGTCTTCTTCAAGGACCAGCCCTTCTCTAGGCAGACAGGTGGGGCATCACAAGGGCAGCATATTGCAGACAATGCCTATGATCACTTTATCAATTGGTTTTTCTTAACTATTTTTCTTTAAGGAAGAGTTCAATTTGAGGGAGGGGTGGCATATCCATAAATAGATACAATGTAATATGACAAAAGGCATCAATAAAACTTAATTTTGTGTGTGTGGTGTTTTTTTTAGGCAATTGGGGTTAAGTGACTTGCCCAGGGTCACACAGCTGGTAAGTGTCAAGTGTTTGGTCTGAGGCCAGATTTGAACTAAGGTCCCTCTGTCTTCAGGGCCGGTGCTCTATCCACTGAGCCATCTAGCTGCCCCTAGTAAAACTTATTTTTATAAATTTAAAAAATGAGGGAATTGTACTAAATATCTCTAAACTATCTTCTAGTTCTAAATCATATGATTGAAAATATTGAAACTATTTACATTTATTGAGTACTTTGAAATTAAAATTCTTAATACAAGTCATTCTCCAAATGATAAATGGTCAAAGGATATGAACAGATAGTTTTCAGATGAAGAAATTAAAGCTATCTATAGTCATATGAAAAATATCTAAGTATTTGATTAGAATAGAGAAATGCAAATTGAGACAGATCTGAGGTACCACCTCATGTCTATCAAATTGGCTAATAGGACAGAAAAGGAATATGATAAATATTGGAGAAGATGTGGGAAAATTGGGACATTGTTGGTGGAGCTGTGAACTGATCCAACCATTCTGGAGAGCAATTTGGAGCAATGCCCAAAGGGCTATAAAACTGTGCATACCCTTTGATCCATTAATACCACTACTAAGTCTATATCCCAAAGAGATCATTAAAAAGGGAAAAGGACCTGTGTGCACAAAAATATTAATGGCAGTCTTTTTTTTTTGGTGGCAAAGAATTGGAAATTGAGGGGATGTCCATCAACTGGGGAATTGCTGAACAAGTTGTGGTATTTGAGTCTAATGGAATACTATTGTTCTATAAGAAATGATAAGTAGGTAGATTTCAGAAAAACCTGGAAAGACTTACATGAACTAATGCTGAGTAAGTGAGCAGAACCAGAAGAACACTGGACACAGTTAACAGCAATATTGTGCGATGATCAACTATGAGAGACTTAACTCTTCTCAGCAATACAACATCCAAGACAATTCCAAAAGACTCATGATGGAAACATGCTAACCACATCCAAGTAAGAACTTTGGAATCTGAATGCAGAGCAAAGCATATTATTTTCACTTTATTTTTTTGGTTTTTTTTCCTTTCTTGTCATTTTTCCCTTTTGTTCTGATTCTTCTTTCACAATTGTATATGTATAATCTATATCACATTGCTTGCTGTCTCGGGGAGGGGAGAGGGAAGGGAGAGAGGAAGAAAAATTTGAAACTCAAAATCTTACAGAAATGAATGTCGAAAACTATCTTCACATGTAATTGGAAAAAATACTCTTAAGAGAAAAAAAGAAATTAAAATTCTTAAGTCTCCTTAATAGGAAGTTTGTAAGAATCATATTGTTATCATAACATTTACTTCACAGATTTCCTCTGTCCTGTGTTTTTCTTCATTTCCCATTTATAGAAGAAAAAGTTTTAAATATATTTTCCTAAATAATCTCCAGACACATGTATGCTCCTTCTAGCCATCATACTTTTCCCCTCCCCCATTTAAA